ATCTCTACACAAAAAGCTGGTGTCAGAAGTGAGTATTAAAGTAGTTACCTTAACAAAGTTCCCAAGTGGTTGTGGCCATGCATCTAATATCTCCTTGGCAACATTTGATCCAGTCGATTCCACAAATTCCTCCAAAATCTGTTTGAGGAATTTAACATCTACATCCTTGACAACAGCTTCCAAGGAAATAGATTCTTTGTTACACATTTGTGAAAATTTCTTTTCCCTGATCAAAATAGATCATACATAAATGTTTATTAGCAGACTTTAACATGTTCCAAATTTTACGTCACTGATCAGTACATGTATGTGGATTGAGAAAGCACATGAAGAATTATTTGCAGGACTCACTTGTCTGAAATGTATGTTGCCTTTATATAGTCTCTTAAGGTAAGTCAGTTACTATTCAGTTGTCAGAATGGCAATTTAGTGTCAACTTGTGAATGGTTTTTTCACTACTCACAAAAGACGACAACAAAATACTTCCCAGTATTTTCAGTTACAAGAATAATTGTCTTACTATATACCTTACAATGATCACCAGTATTCAAAGCACTATTGATATATGCTTGATTATTACAAATCAGTTGAGTTGTAGTAAATTCAGTCTTTTGTGCTATGGGCAAGGCAGAATGTTCTATTAAAGAGACAGTTAGATGACTCAAACCTAATGCCTTGGGTCTTATCGAGCTAGGCCAAGTGCACACACTAAAATTCTCAGAGATGGGGCTACAACACATAACACCAGTGGAAGTGTCTGTGAAAACAGCTAAAGTCTATAAAACAGCACAAACTCAACTTCAAAGTAATCCTGAGCAACCAAAATATAAGGGTAATCTTGTTACACTGTTCAGGGGAGTCTAAACAACAATCCCAAAGCACAGTTTTCATAGAGTTTTTGTTGTTTGTTTTCAGTAATGGTTGCCAGGTGAAAATGCCTGGATGTCCACCCTGTAATTACAGTTAATTATATTGACTTACTTATCCAATACATATGCAATTCCTCCAGACATGCCAGCAGCAAAGTTTCTACCAGTTGTTCCTAATATAACAACTCTGCCACCAGTCATGTACTCACAACCATGGTCACCAACACCCTGAGTAGCAATACAAACATGTAATAAACACTGCTGTTTTGTTTCATATAAAATTAAACAATATTTATTTTAGAATTTATTTTCCATTGTTAATGCATCTACATGACATGGTGAAATAAGTTTAATTTACAACAATCGCATAATGTTCTAAACGTATCATATCAGGATCACTGTCAATAATACAGCAATAAATTTATAGCATCATCAGAAATAGTTTCTATTGGTTGACAGCAGTAAAATGTTAGTAATAAAATACAATGCATATAATACTAATAAAATGTCAGTCATTGCTATTCCTAATTTTGTATATTCACCAGCTGGGTTTATTATTACATCTTCTTTTTTTCGGCAACATTGTAAGTTTGGTTTTGAATTGGATATGTCCACCCTTCTCTTATTTCTAAAACATGACTGCTTATTTTGAAACAAGTCATTGTGATTTTACGTTTCAAATTACATAGGAGAAATATAGTTCAAAAGTGTACAAGTATTTATATGCAGCATACATCAATAATAAAATTATGTAGTAGAGTTGGAAAATAGTTGACATACCTCTACGACAGCGATTGCACCCGAATTTCTAACACAGAATCTCTCAGCAGCACAGCCTCTGAAGAAAGCCTTACCACTTGTAGCACCGTACAACACAACATTACCCACTATAATATTCTTGTGGGTTTGAAAGGAATCAGGCAAATCATGGGGAGGGTAGACTACAATTTCACCACCCGACAAGCCCTAATGAAGGAAAACATTATATATAACATGTACAAAAATAGACAAATTTCCACAGCTGTATTATAGTTAAACCTTAAAGGAATTCAATATCTAGGTGCCTATAAAATCAGCAACCTGGGGAGTCCCAGTACCCACTAACACCAGTTCTAATTTTGCCACTATAGAATCTATGGTAGAGTGTAGTGTTGGGAGGTGGGTAGGAATAAGGTAATTATCAATATGCATTGCAATATCATAGTAACTATTTATTTATTTATTTATTCAATTGCTCCCTCTATAAGGTGTGACTAAATAGAGACCCTTCTCAATAATGGGTAGACAAATGAGTAGACAGACAAACAAAATATTCACCTTTCCTACATAGTCATTTGCATCACCTTCTAATTCAACATGTATACCTTTAGCCATAAAAGCACAGAAACTTTGACCAGCAGTTCCAGTTAGCTTGATATTAATAGTTTTATCAGGCAGTCCTTCTTCACCAAATGACCTGTGAATAATAACCACCCATATTATGTAAATATCCTATGACACTGCCTGCTTCTTTGTAGTGTACATGTATTAAAAGGTATAACACAACAATATTTCCTATTATATATTAGGTAGTGTGTGTAGTTTGTGGAGTTCAGTGAAGAGTATCTTGAGTAACCAAGGATACCAAAGTGTCACGCTAACATGGGTATGATGCCATTAAGGTGTCCCCCTCATGCTTAGGGTGTTGTATAGTTTTAGCAAAAGATTCAAAAGGCAGCCATATTGTACAGACAAGAATACTCACTTTGAAACATAATAGCTTAATGTTGTAGCAAATGTTCTGATTTCATTGTTAATCTTCAGATTTATGTGTATGGGTTCAATTTTCACACCACTCAGAATGTCTTTACATGATTCTATTACAGCGTTATCCTGGTTCCACAAAAGAATCAAAGAATACAGTAATCAAGGCCCATTTACTTGGACACAGTCAAGAGAGTACAGTAAGAGTACATAACCCTAGCTTGTACTGAACAATTATTGAGCTAAGGATAGCTCAATAATAGCTCAAAGGATCAATTGCAGTTGATTCACTCAAGTCCAATTAATTGATAAGTGACGTGATTACACTATAATTTCAGTTTTCTTTCTAGCAAGCATCCAACATTACATTTGAAAGCTTACAAAATCTTGTACAACATAAGAAACATGTTTATCATTCATGCACACAATAAAACAAAATGTAATTCATAACATCTTGGCACCTGCATGTACAATGTATTTTAGAGAGACAACATTACAAGCATGTAATAAGATCATACAAGC